CCATAATGATAACTTGGTCATAATGACCACATGAAGACCAGAGCTCACCTTAACGTTAAACGTTTAACTTTTCATGGTGACTTTGCCTTCATCTCAGTGTTGTGCTGAAATAGAGAATTCATTAATGCAGTTAACCCCAAGTAAAAGTTACGTTTTTTTCAGGTAACGTTACTATGGTCAAAAACTCACTCAAGATAAACTCACTGTACGTTATCTAATACCTCGCAAACACTACAAACACGGTCTGGCATCGAATAACGTGACATAAGTACCTACAACTAACGTAACTTGGTTAATTATTTAAAATTACACACACACTACACGGAAAAATACACAAAACAATCATTTAACGAACAGAATTTGACTTTTAAAAACTTACCGAGGATGAATTCACTGGAGAAAAAGGCGACAGGTGGATTTCAAATTAGGATAGCCGTTGCTTGCCTGGTGAAGGTCGAATCGAGTCGGCTCGGTTCTATGAATCGGCTCCTTAGAACAGTAAAGAGTCGAATCCGCCTAAAACCGATTCCTTTTTGTATATTATTGTAAGACACAACAATGAATCTTTACTATTTCGTTATACTGCTCGGTCACACACATTTATACACATATTGCTGAATGTGCTTGTGAACACATGTGATAAAATAATTCCCGAGCAAACGGTTCAATCCGATTCGGTGTCGTTTGAGTTCTGAACCGAACCAGTGCAAACGTGATATTGATAAAATAGAAATATTGTTTTTTTTTCTCACTTTACCAGCGAAACTATTACATATATCTGACTTTAACAATAAGAATAAGGTTCGCTTGAAGTGTTTTGAGAATTAATATTTTTTTCTCCCAGAGTTCATTTTACACCAACAAGCAAATATAATGGCGGATGAGAAAAGCCAGATCATATCATAAATATTGCGTTTAATATGTTACGAAATGAAGTTTTAACAGTTTTTCATGCGAGAATATAGTTCTTCCAAACTCAAATCTGTGGTTTGTTTTTAGATATCATGTCTAATTTTAAGTGTGCTTTGCCGATAGGGGAGATTCTGACCTCCAGGGGTTGACGGCGCTCCATCACTCATGTATCCGGCAAACCTCATGCTTTACTCGGCCTGGACATTATTGAGACATGCCCCTGTCTTCGATGACTAGATAATAAATGTGTTATGATATAAAGTTTTAACCGTTTTTCATGCGAGAATGTAGTTGTTTTAAACTCAAGTCTGTGGTTTATTTATTAAGATAGTGCGTATTTTAAAATATTGTTTTGAAAATGCGGAGATATGTGACCTCTACGGTGGCCCATATGGGTGCCCAATATTCTTGAATCCGTCTAAAGCAGGTTGGTCAAGCTGACTTTGAAATCATTTTGTGTGTTTAACAGTCTTTGGTTACGTGAATCAATTATTTTTGTTCCAATTTACGTTTTGGTTTAGCACAAAGTTATGTTTATTAAATAGTATTTAATATTTCCATGTTACCTTATAAAATGAAGGAGCAGTGCACCCAAAAATGGAAAACCAGGGGACAGTTTTGAATAGTCTGAAGAAACTGGTTAGGTTATTTACTTCACAAAATAATTTGTCTAAAAATAAATAAACATAATAATCATAATATATATAGTGTGTGTGGAGTTGTTCTTGGTCATTTGCAGTACTGTATTTAGATGCACAGTAACTGATTTTTCCCCAAAATTCATTATAAAATCTACAGTAACATACTGTTAACCATGTTCACAGTATAGAAAAGTTGAAAATACATTATTATACTGTGAAAACAACAATATATACAGTAACACACTGTACACAGCTTATACAGTAAAAAACTGTTGAGAAATGCAGTATAATACTGTGAAAACAACAGAAATCGTTTACAGTGTGCCTTTAAGGCTTGAACCTCATTAAACAGGGTATGCTACAATTTTTCATGGCATGTCAGATACAAGAGGGCATTTGATTGGTCAAAATTTCATAAGAAACCGAAGTGCGAGGTGACGTGAAAAAAATGTCAATCAATCTTTTATAGCTGGTAAGCGAAAAAAGGAACAATGTCATACCGCCCTGCAGTGTCTGTTTTATAGATGAAATGCAGTCTTACGTAGCTCTGGCTACATAATTTGCAATCTCCAGAAACGGATAGGGCTACTTTTCAGAATGAGTCTATGTTGTTTTTTTGTAAAACAAAAAGGTGATTAGTATGGTCACAGTGTCACTATGACACATTACTATCAGTATAAACAGACCATCAAAAAGCAGTCTATTGTAAATATTTATCACTTATTTTACTAATCGAAACCCTGTTTTTTTTCTTCTTCAAAATGTGTTAAACCAATGTGATACTCATTGCAATAGGGGCACTAGAAAACTTGTTGCAAGAGATTTATTTTGTAGCATGTAAAGACGATAGCTGTCATCAATCTCATTCATGTGTGTTCAGTATATAATAAAATTGTTTTTTTCCAAAAATATTACATTTGACTAACTTGTTTAGCTTGTACCACAAAGCATAAAAGTGAAAATTAAACAGCCTGTTTCTGCCTGTGCACCAGTAAAACTTGGCATAGTATCGATATGTTTTAGTACCTAGAAAGGACTATTTAAAAATTATTCACAATCACTATCCCTGTAAATATTTACTTTCTAAATTTAATATTAAAATTCTTTACAATTCACATTCTGTCATTCTAATCTGGAAACAATAGCACATTTGTTTTTAGAATGCAATTTTAAACTGTAAACTTTTTTAGACAGAAATATCTTGTCTTGTTTTCTCAGCTTACAAAAACGTTTTGATTTTAATCTATCAATTAACAATTATCAATTAACCTATTGTTTTTGATCTGGGAGTCAGATTGTAAGGAAGTGGACAATGTGTTGAAAATGTTCACTCTTTGTGGCCTTTTCCATTAAACAAATGTAGAGTTATTCAGTGTTTGCCTAATTTTAGAACATTTTGTGTTGACTTGAAAATTTATTATGAATCTGTCTGCCTATCGTTAAATTAGAAAGCTGCCAAAACAACTGTACTGCTGGAAAACAATAATATTATCATTATGAGCATTAATTTGAAATAATCAGATCCCTTTTGGTACACTCTTAATAATTTACTTATGGTTTGAGATAATTATGTTTGATTTCTTTTGATTTATTGTTTATTTTGTTTTCTTTAAATAGTTGTTATTCTTTCATGTAGAGATTTTTTCCCTTATCCTTTGTAACAATTGTGTAACTAGCTGTACTATGAATATGTCATTTATATTTAGGTCACAGAATATGAATTATTATTTTTTTTAAATCAGATCTGCCATGTTGCCATTATCACATGACCTACTCACTACAGTTGTTGCCTGCCAATGGTGGAAAACGGATAGTTCGCTCCAAAAATTAAAATATTTTCTAAAGTAAATTTATTTATAAAATTTTTACAAATCAAATTATAAAGTAATAATGTTCAACTGAAGTTGAACGACAAGAAAAAAAAAAACTAATTTCAAACTGTGCTTCATTTGGGACCTATATTGTGAGACATTTAACGTCGCACCTGCTATTTTAAAAAAGTGCAATTTGACTGTCAGTATTTAAGATGTCAGGACTTTGCCATTTAAGAAGATAAGTGACTTTGGAGATTCTATAATATAGCATCTAAACAACACAGTTAACACAAATGTAACACTGCATGAAACCAGCTTCACATTCTCTTTCACAGTAATACAAAATGTAAAGTACATTCTCCATGAAACAGAGCATATTTGTTAAGGTGGAGATTGAAAACCTCACTTCCTGTAAAAAGTCTGGCAATAGGTCACCCAAAAGTGCTAAATCATGAACTAACAGTGACAGATATCATTCAGAGTGCTTCTAGACATTCTGCTGTGGTCATAAAAAAATTTAGGGAGCCACTACAGCAACTCAGCTGAATGTAAAGGGCGCTAATGGCTCTCTGTCCTCCGAATGTCAGCCTCACTGGTTTTCAAGGGCATCGTACTGATGGGGATTTGGTTAACGGGATGGGAGGGGGGCTTGGTGCGGGTCATGACGTCACCATGTCCCGATGTAATCCTCTCGCGCTTGAGTCCTATCAGCAGAGGAGGGCGAGCGCGCGGGGACGCGAGGAAGCACTAATCTCTCCAGAAGGGATCAGCACAAGCAAGACGCAAATGAGACTCTTGAACGCTGTAGGAGAAGACGATTACGATTAAAACGGGATACAATCAGCGCATTTGAGCGTAAATCGACAGACGTGACCTCGTTGTGGGATGCAGGAGGGATACAGCGCGCGGCAGCTCCAGAGATGCTCGACGGAGAAAATGGAGCATCGTGTTGACGCGGACTGTAGTGCTGTTTCAATCATTTTGCTGTTATTACCGTCATATTATGTTGAATAAGGTTGGTTGACGGCTTTTCGTAAGGTAGTTGATTGTGTATTTTGTGATTTTACCGAGTGTTTTGTTTACACTTGATGTAGTCTGAGGGATGCACTACTGCAGAGGTCAGCAAAACGAGTGAGAATCATAACAATGCGCGCCCTTCGGACGGATGGTGCCTTCTTCATTGCTTTCGTTCGTCGCCTGCAGTGCGGTTCCTTGCTTTCTTTACACGACACCTGCTCATTTATGATATGCTGTATTCAAACATTGACATTCTTTTTGAATTCCTAACCGCACTGCCACTGAGCCACAGAAACCCCGAAGCCTCAAAAGGAGGAGGACAATAGCCGTGGCTGCAGAATCATACACTGGCTCCCTGTGCAGCTCCTAAAGGGAATGAATATAGGCCACTGCTCGGCCTTCTATGCGCAATATTTGCATGTACATTTCATTGTATTGCACGCGGATTTGAAAGAAAAAACGCGGGAGAAACAATATTGTGAATATTACTTTGACATTTTGTCGTCGGCGAGTTGTCAAAACGCATTACGACATCCCTCTTTGCGGTGCTCTTTGAAGAGCAGCCTGCTCTGCTGTGCGCGAGTGCTTGTGCGTTCGCGCGCGTGCGCGTCATAGAGGGTGGTGACACAGGCCCGCCACTCTGCGTGTTCACGGCGGACCTTGATTTAATATCCATACAATTAAGGCACGCGGTGAATGCCAAGAGAGGGGTCTTAAAACGACAAACCCGTGTGCGGCAGAAAATGAGCAGCAGCAGCGCAAGAGATGCGCACATCTAGAGTGAACACTGCGCGGTTATTCTACTGAGCTGAACAGGAACTGAGGCCGATGGGTTGCCGGCGCATGTTAGGAATATTAATTTTAAGAGCTGACGGGAGTCTGAAATTCCTCTTCAAATGCAAAGTACATTGCCTTATTTCAGTCAGTCCGTTTCCAGTAATATTTTTAATCAAAAGAAGTTTTCATAGTCATTGATTACAGGTAGACAACTCAGATTTGTGTAGAGAAATAAGGTTTACATTGCTTAAGTACTGACATTACATTGCTTAAAGAAACCATGAGCTTGATGGCTATTAAAATGTCAGGTATTTATGCAAAGACCTTTGGCTGCCATTGCAATTAAGCCAGAAAATGCATCAAAATCGAGACAAATACAAAAAATGATATTGATTTGAAATTATGTTTTGATCAATGTTTTTGATTTGTATATACTGCAATTAACTAGAATATGTATGAGAATAAAACTGCAAAATGTCAACTTAAAATGCACAGAGCACTTTATACCAAGACCTGTCACTTCATTCCTTTGTTCACATGTCAATAAATCATTACTTTATTCATTTCTGTCACCTGTTTAGAAATGCTGTTTCAAGTTTTTTATTTCTGGCTTTCTCTCAGAACTCCACATAATGATGTCACTCTAGATGTGCTGGATGAGTAGAACAAGATGGCAGCCAATCAATTCAGATGGCGCTTTTCTGTTAGAGATTCCACACTTCTAAAGGGAGCAATAGCATGTCACACATTACATACACTTAACAACTACACCCTTAAAAATAAAGGTTCTTTATCATCATTGGTTAGATGAAGAAATCTGTCCATTAATTGAAACTTTCAATTGCATAAAAGCTTGTTAGATGATTAAAATGCTTATAAAAACTCATTTATCATATTAGGTTTTAAGGAGAATTAAAAAAAATGTCTCTTCAATGGCATCACTGTGAAAATACCCTTTCGGAATCTTTAGTTCTTTAACTGCCCGCTCTACCAAATGGTTGACCATATTTTGACTGTTTTAAATAAGGACTGTTGAAGTCATTTAAAGAATGACACAGTTATTGTTGGTTTACAAAAACATCAAACAAATATAATCCTGTTGCGCTAATACACTTGATTTTGGTTTTATTGTAAAAAAAGAATAAGTAGAATAAATAAGAATCTAAAAAATTTGATGGCATACTTTTATGGCAAAATAAAGATTATTTAGTATTGAGAAATGTTTTATTTTAAATATATATATATATATATTTTATAAATGGGTCTTTCACTTCAGATTTTCATGTATTGCGGTACTTTTACCATAAACTGACATATCAATCATTTGGTGGAGGTTGATATTTAGATATTATGGGATGTGTTGAAAAAAAAATACATTGAGAGTGTTAACGAGCAACATTAGGAGTTAAATGCAATCAAAAAATGTTTTTCTTGATGGGGCAGTTAAAGGGTTAAGTGTGCTCTTCAATGTTCTCTTTGATCTTCAGGAAATAATCTTTGTCATGTCACATTTGCCAAAAAATCAGTGTGACCACAATGACGTTACTATTCTCACTGAGAATTCTGGCTGTCTGGCGTGAACATAAATAAAACAGGTTATGCTTACAATATGTAATCTTTACTGTAGGGATTACAGTGCAACATGTATAAAAACTGACATTTAGGCAAATTTGGAGTGCATAAAATATTACTAGCAGATAAACCTTACTATTTTAACCCTGTTCTTGATTTGAGCCACACACACACAAAAACAACAACTATAAAGCATTTGTGATTAATTTAAGATGTACTCTACTTCTAAGCTTATTTCACAGTGACGCTGAGAGAAATGTACACTACCGGTCAAAAGATTGGGATCAGTTTTTTTTAATTATTAATTTAAATAAAATTATTCTCTTCATCAAGGCAGCATTTATTAAATGTAATTTTTAAAATTAATTATTTATTACTTATTGTATATGGTTTCAAATGAGTTTATTACTCCAGTTATCATTGCTTTTATTACTATAACCTTTAATAATAATAACAACGGTGGTTCATTCCGCTGTGGCGACCCCAGATTCAGAGTCAATGAATAATTACAATAATTAATATTAAAGTCTTTTCTAAAGCAGTGTTTCTCAACCACCCTCCTGGAGGCCCACCAACACTGCATGTTTTGGATGTCTCCTTTTTCTGTCAAACCTATTACAGGTCTTTCAGTCTCTGCTAATGAGCCAATGAATCAGGTGTGTTTGGTTAAGGAGACATGGAAAATGTGCAGAGCTGGTGGTCTTCCAGGAACATGGTTGAGAAAACGATCATGACTCTCAAGATAAAAGTTCTAAAGCTGAAAATTCATCATTTAAATCACTGGAATAAATTATAAACTACTTCTGAACAGTTATTTTATAGTGCAATAACATTTCACAATTTCGCAACGTGTGCTGTATTTTTGATGAAAAAAACAAAAAAACGCAGCTTTGGTGAGCAGGAGAAGCTTATTTTAAGAACATTTTAATTCAGCTGACTCCAAACTTTTATTCGGTAGTGTATAGTTTGAATTTCAGAAAACAAACAAATAACAAATATATGTCCATCATGTCATCAAATGAAGCATATTTGTCCTGTGCTCATCAATTTTGGTAAACTGAAATCTATGCAGTTAAATCGTAAAAACTGATTCAGAATTAGCAGACATGAGAATCCTCCAGACAAAGCAAGGCAGTAAAAAGAACACCTTCAAACACCAATTACACCATATAGTATTATTTTAATAATGAGCATGATCAAATCTAAGAACGTGATAGATAATGACCTTCCAATACAATGCATATTCATCTCAGGGGTGACTTAAATGTTCGTCTTGTAACTCTTTTTTTAATATTTTTAGTATTTCATATATTTTCATGAATCTTTTGTTATATGACTATAGAAATCTTAAACCCTCAATTCCGCTCTCCCACACACAAACACACAAAACAGCAAGCAGGTCCTAAAAAAATCACGCACAGAAACCATATACTCTTTTTTTTTGTTGTTTGTTTGTTTTTTCTTACTTTTAACAGTAAATCAGTAACATTAATTTTCAGGTTACACGTTTTGAGGCGTTCTTCGTTATTGTTATAATTATATGATCCTACGTTAAAGCTTAGCAATATACTGAGGACAGGGGGGAGGAAAAAGGGGATGAAATCAAATCTGTTAAAGGACGAGAAACAAAACAAAGATAAGGGTGATGCATCTAAAGTGATTTGAAATAAAAAGCAGTGAATTGCTACATCTCTCAGATTGGCTTAAAGAAACAGCGACCTCTGCTGGGCGGGGTTGGAACAGTAAGTAGTTACATTTCTGCTCTTTAAACATTACGCATGTATGAAAACAAAGCTTGAGCACTGTGCTCTGAACCATAACGAAAAAGTTAGTTAATTTATTTTTGTGTTGTTTTTTTTTTTTGTTTGTTTAGTCCAGCCAGTGACAATGTTGACGTCCCTTGGTTAAGGATGCATGGGATGTCGTCTCCCTGATAATGCTGTTTCAATTGAGGTATAGAACAGCCATTATTAAACGGTTTCCATAGCTTTAAAATGTTAAGGCTCCAAGCAGGAAAAACAAAGGAGAAAACAAAACAAAAAGTGTGACATAAGTGGCTCGTCACTGAACAAAACAAGTCAAGTGTTACATAATTCAAAAATATAGTTTCTTTTTTTTTATAACATCATCTCAAGACACATTTCATTGTCCCTTCTATGCATTTGCATTATTCTCCATAAATGGGTTCGAACCACTCTGGATCTACAGAACGTAAAACTGGCCTGTTACAGTTACTGATGCTGGAGATGCCCCTCCTGCTGGACACACCCCTCAAAATCACATGACTGACATACACTCCACCATCTTCCCTAATACACACATACATACACGCACACACACAGAAGTCATGACCCACTCATTTAACCCACTTTGAAGGGCACGTTAAGGAGCAGTGGGGCTGAAGAAACAATAATATAGGATGAAAAGAAAAGACTTGTGCAGGTATTGGTTGGTCAAACAGGGTAGGGAGGTGTATGGAAACAATACCAAATGATAGAAAAGAAGAAAAAAAGAACAAAATAATAATTAAAAAACAAAAACAAACAAACAAACAAAAAAATCAATCGAAATGATGACGCGACGTTAAGAGGTGCTAATCGACTTCAGCCCTCAGAGGTGAAGCCGGAGGCGCAGAGGCTCGAGTCTGACGCTGGCTGAAGTCACCAGAATTAAATAGAAAAACATAATGATTGTTTATTTTTTGTTTTTAAATTTCATCTTGTGTCCTCTTTAAATTTCATTTTTTAAATGGTCAGTCCTAAAACAACTGCTCATCAGCTGTGGGGAGGGGGCAGCCTTCTATTGTTTATTTCGGTTCTGGCGTTCCTGTGGGAGAAAAACAGAGAAATATGGAGAGCGGTTAATATTGACAAAACACAAAAACTCCTTTTCATTTTAATGCAATTCAGACATCAAAAATGACTCCTATTATTTTTTTGTAATGCACCAAAATGATGGTTCCCACAACTGTTGACCAACAATTTCCCCTGAACTTTTCAGGTCTTATAAATATTAACCTTTTAAAAACGTATTGTCATTATCATTTTGTCAATCTCAGGTTAATTTCCTGCCAATGACCGCATCGTAATTTAACTTTTGATTAATTCAGGTAACGTTTACATGATAATGATGTAGCCAAAAATAAAAAGTTTTTCCATGCAAATTCCTTGAACATTTTCAAAACAGATTTAACAGGTTTACACACATCAGCAAAAAAGTCCAAAAATGCCGTATTATGCACATCAGGCTAGTATTTGGCATTGTCATTTCATTAAACGTTCCTGAGTTTGGTATGATGTTTCGGAATGAAGCTCTATAATTTTATTAAAACGTGACTGCTCAGTGTGTGCCATACAACAGTGCTTTCACTTTCAATGTAG